TTATTTTATTTTATTTTATTTTATTTTATTTTAATAATTTGTTTATTTTTGATTTATTTTTGATTTATTTATTTATTTATTTATTTGTTTGTTTTAATTATTAATTAATTTATCCATCATTATTTATTAATAACTATTAAATTTTTATTTCATTCATTCATTTTTTATTTTTTTATATATTTTTATTTTTATTTTATAAATTTATTTATTTATTTTAAATAACTATTGTATAATTGTAATTATTTAATTTATTTTTAGTTTTATTTAATAATTTGTATTTTTTTATTATAATAAAATGCTGTGGGCTGCACGATGGAACAGTGGGTTGCGTGTTCGCCTCACAGCAAGAAGGTTGCTGGTTCAAGCCCCAGCTGGGTCAGTTGACATTTCTATGTGGAGTTTGCATGTTCTCCCCGTTTGCATGAATTTTCTCCGGGTGTTCCGGTTTACCACACAAGTTAAAGACGTGATTAATGCTCTAAGATTCAATACCATAAAGAACTGGTACAAATGTATAAATAATACTCAGTTACAGGCAGATTATTTTGCATCAGAGAGTATGCATATTGTGTTCAGTGGTTTTAACCAGCTCTATTGAAGTTAAATTATTAAACCTTAAATTTCATAATGTCAGTGGAAATTGCAACAGTGATTCGGTCACGCTTGGCTGAGCCTCTCTTCATAAAAATTGCAGCAAATTCGAAGCCTCAGAAGAGCCTTAGAACAGGTCTAAATGTTCATTTTCCATCTCTGCATGAACTTTGAATTGCCGTGAAGACTCCCCGTGTCACATGAGGACAATAGAGCTTTGAAATTACTTAAAAGGGACATATTATGCCCCTTTTCATAAGATGTAAAATGAATCTCTTGTGTTCCCAGAATATGAAGTTTCAGGTTGAAATACCCCACATATTGTGTAATACTGCTTGTCAAATTTTCCCATATTGGGGTTTAAGAAAAACGCACACCGATTTTTTATTTTTATTTTTTTCGTATCTTTAAATTGAAACGAGCTGTTGCTTTCCTGAAGGGGGTGCAGCAAAAAAAAAAAAAAACTAAGTACGTCCCATCTATGCAGTCAAAACTACCAGTATCAGATTAGAGCTTTATTTGTTTTAACCACATTTGGACAGATGGAGAGGAAAGAGCGTACAACTTCTAGTTTTTTTAGTTGTTGTCTGTGTAGTTGATTAAGCTTATTACAGTATTATATCATGCTAACTCTGTTCTGATATGTTGGTCTTTGTAAATACACATTACCTTATAGAAAGTGCAAAAAGCATGTCACCAGACTATACTGTTAACAATAAATGTGCTTTAAGAATATGACTTATGTTGGTGAAGTACTTCAGAAGTTTAGCAATATTGTTATGCGCATGGGGAAGATACAAATCGACTACAATGTCCACAGTGGCTCAGGATGTATGGAATTTTTTAAATCTGCAATGTAACCCAACATAATTTTTACTTTATTTTATTTATTTATTTTTTTTATTTAATTAATTTTTTTATTATTACTTTTATGTCATTATTAATTATTATTATTATTATTATTATTATTATTATTATTATTATTATTATTATTATTATTATTATTATATTGTAATGATAATGTTTTATTTTAATATTTGTTTTTAATTCTATTTTAATTACATGTTTTGTTTTGTTTCATTATTATTTTTATATATTTTTTATTTTAATTTAATTTTATTTTATTATTAATTTTATTATCATTATTATTATTATTATTATTATTGTTGTTGTTGTTGTTGTTGTTGTTGTTGTTGTTGTTATTGTTGTATTTAATTAGATATTTTAAAATGTTATTATTATTTATTTGTTTTGTTTTATTATTCTTATTTTTTATATATTGTTAATTATTTTATTATTACTTTTATTTTATTGTTATTATTTAATTCATTCAATCATTTTCTTGTCGGCTTAGTCCCTTTATTAATCAGGGGTCGCCACAGCGCAATGATCCGCCAACTTATCCAGCACGCTTTTATGCAGCGGATGCCCTTCCGCCACAACCCATCTCTGGGAAACATCCAGACACACACTTATTGACACACACACACACACACGCACACACACACACACACACACACACTCCGGACAATTTAGCCTACTCAATACACCTGTACCGCATGTCTTTGGACTGGGGGGGAAACCGGAGCACCCGGAGGAAACCCACGCGAACGCAGGGAGAACATGCAAACTCCACACAGAAACGCCAACTGAGCTGAGGCTCAAACCAGCGACCCAGTAACCTTCTTCCTGTGAGGCGACAGCACTACCTACTGCGCCCCAGTATTATTACTTATTATTGTATATTACTTTAGTATAAATTTTATTTTTTATTATTCTATTCTATTTTATTTTTAATTTTTATATTTGTTTTTTTTTTTTCATTTTATTTTATTGAATTATATTGCAATGTTTTTTTGTTCATCGAACATAATCTAAAATGTAATTTAATTTTACTTTATTTTATTTTATTTTATTTTATTTTATATATAATAAAGTATAAATTTAGTTTTTTTCTTTTATTATCACTTTTTTGTGTATTCTACTTCCATTATTATTATTATTGTTGTTGTTGTTGTTGTTTTTGTATTTTATGAAATATTTAGTTTGTTTTTGTTTGATTTTGTTTTATTACTATTATTATTTTTACATTTGTTTTTATTTTATTATTACTTTTATTTTATTATTGTTACTTATTATTGTATTTTATTATAATATTACATTTTTATAATTTTTTAATTTTTATATTTGTTTTTATTGTATTACTTTTATTTTATTTTATTTTATTTTAAATTATTTTATTTAAAAAACTGTGCAATTTAGTCCACCAATTTGTTAATCTTTAATTATTTATTTTTATTTGGGGGCTGGGTAAAAATCTGGCCAAAATCTGACCATTTGCTTCCACATTTAGAGTGCCGGTCTACTTCTGATTACATCATTTTGTTGGCTTTAGCCACAATATTCTTAGCCAGGCCCCTCTACCATTAGTTTGCCATTTGATATTGATATTCCATTTCAGTCGGAAGTACATCAACATACAGTACTGTACAATAAAGGGCTGGAATGTATAAAAAAAAAAAATCTTCTTCCAACTTCATTAAAACTGAACAGCATTTCACTTTCCGCGTGATTGGAGAGAAAGGCTTACTACACTAAAATTACTGGCTTGTTTTCTGGACTAGGGACCTCATTATAGCACTTAAACATGAAAAAGTCTAGAAATGTCCCTTTTAGAGCCTGTTACATTACTTTTTACTGTATCAATTTCACTCTCTGTCCAATGCATGTCCTCCATAAGTGAAATATGAAGGCATTTACTCAGGGACAAGTCTTTCTGGAGGCCCGCAGCATTGTGAGGAAAAGAATTATTGAACGAGAGTGAGGAGAGATAGAGAGGAAAAAAACTGATGATGAATAGTGTCTGAGAAAAGAACAGATGATGAGCTGCGTGTGGATGCAGAGGACAGAACAAAACAGATGATGTGAAGGGGGCTATGGTGGAGAAGTGGACAGAATCGCTGGTCAAATCTCCAAGAAAAAAACCCTGCTTTCTGTGTCATTTAAACGTCAGGCTTTGTGATATTTTAAATATGGACCGTTTGTGTTGTGTTTTGTGTTTTTTTGACTGTGTTAGGTGGAGATGCGTATTTGATAATAAGTTTGTTCTGATGTGGTATAGTTTGGGTGTAGTTTTGTTCTCAATTTTTTTGTGTGTGTGTGTGTTTTTTTTTTTTTTTTGTTTTTTTTCTGTTGGTATATATTTAAACTACTTTTATGTAATTAAATGTCATTTATGGTTAGAAATTGGGTAAAGATTTTATTTTATTATTTGTTTTATTTAATTTGATTTATTATTATTATTTATTTATTTGTTTTATTTTATTTTATATTATTTTATGTTTTTACTTTTATTTTTTTTTATATGCCAGTTATTTTTATTTTGTTATTATTTTTTACTTCTCTAAACCAACGTAAGGGTATGCCACATTTTAGAATTTCACTATCTAATAAATTCATTCCATTTAATGGTTTTATTATTTTATTTTATTTTATATATATTTATTTTTATTTTATTTTATTTTATTTTTTTTATATGCCAGTTTATATTATTTTGTTATTATTTTTACTTCTTTAAACCAACACAAATGTATGCCACATTTTATAATTTCACTCAGAAACAATAATTTCATTTTCATTTAATTTTTTGTATTTAATTTTTTGTAGCATTTACTTTTTGTATTTTATTTTATTGCATTTTTTGTATTTTATTTTATTATTTATTTTATTTTATTTTATTTTATTTTATTTTATTTATTGTTTTTTATTATTTTTATTCCACTAACCCTCAGTTACAACAAATGTCACATTATAGGAAAGCAACATGTTATTATATTATGACACTTTGTCCTATTTTGTCCCACAGAATCAGACGACACGCCATATTTCGTGATCGGAGCCATCCTGTACCGTACTCTCGGCCACATAATGCCCCCGCCAAAGTAAGTCCAGTCTATAAGTCTCCCTTAATGCATGCTCTAGTGTATTTAATGTGTTTTAAAAGCTATTTCAAGGGCACTCGTTCTGTTACTTTACATATGATTGACACCAGCTGGCAGAGCGAATAGACAATTATCACAAAAATAAAAAAAAATAAATCAGGTTTTGAGATGGATCCCCAGAATGAAAGTGACATCATTATTAACTGTTTTAATTAATCTAGAAATGAGATTGTACGACTAAAATGATTATTAAAGGGTTTGACTTTACCCTTTATATTCTGATAGGAGGTCAACAGTTCATGCAGGATTAACTGTGGTTAATCTGGTGAAGTTTGCCACCCTGTTGTAGGTTTGATGTGCTGCCACACTGCCCTCTGCTCCAGTTTTAGACCAAATAAAGCACGGTCCATTCCTAGAATCCTTCCTATTCCTGCTTTACCTGCTAATCCAATAAACCGCGGCATCATTACATGATATCATATGGTTGTGTCTAGGGTTGTGGATCTTAAAGCTTCAAATTATCAAAGTGACTCAGCTGTTCTCACTCATTTCTCTCAGAGACTGACAATGGGAAGTCTTATTTATCTAGACTTACTGAAAAGGTGTAAGGTCGAAAAGTAACAAGCATGGGGATCATTGAAGTGTCAGTTAAATTATTTCTCTGGGCCACAGCTCTTATGTACGTATCTAGATGGCTAGGGTTGATCTCATCCGTAAAAAATCTCTGCAAATAGGTCACTCATCATTTGCAATTTTAGTGTGGACATAAGCAGGACTTTAGACAAAGGAATCATCACGTAACACAAAAAATGGAAAGAGTAAGGCTTCATTTTGAAATATTCCAATGAACTGTGTTGCCTTTTCCCCTCAGTGCAGCCTCCACCGAGGGCTTTTCTTTCTTTCTGAGCGAGAGCAGATAAATGTAATTAGGCAGATTGGTTCGGCTGGCACCAGGGGGGCATGTAGAGGCGTCTGGTCTCTTGCTCAAACCCTGCTGGGGTCTGTAGTTCACTGTCCAGACTCACTGAGCTTGTCCGAGCCCTCAACTCAACCCTGACGATAAACATAAGACGCGCCGACAGTGTTTGTTTCTGTCTCTCTCTATTGTGAAGCCCCTGCTATCCAGGTCATTGCTCCTCAGCGTGCCTGATTGTGACGGGGCTCGTTGAATATGTATGGGATCAAGGCTATTTGTTTGTTTTTGGTCCGCTTTTTGCTTTGTGTCTCATTAATTTTCACACAAACTTGCTCCCGCTGCCCCGGGGGAGGCTAACCTGCCCGATTTGTTTGTGACAGAATGTAAGTCCCTGTGACCCAGCAGCTCCCGCGGATACAAGTTTCATCTCTCTGCATAACACATACACACGCACACAGACACAAACATGCACACACACGCAGCCCAAACTAAAAATAGATGGATTTGTTTAGCACACGATGGGGCAAAATAGCACTGCCTTTGGATTTAAAACACACACACACAAGGTGGCAGTCAGCCAGTGTATCATGCTCTGTCATTGAATAATAGCCTTCATTATCTGTTGTTAGAATTCAGCTGAATTGATTTTGATTTTAGTTGTTTTATTTAATGGTGAAATGTTTGGTTACATATTACTGTAACTGTAAATGCTAGTGTTCAAAACTATGTCCTCACTTTAGAGTGTAAAAATGTGTATTTATAGTATATTTATTTATAGAAAATTAATTTGATTTACAGTAGTAATAATTTATGTCTAGGCAATATCTAATCATGTGAACAAAAATGCCTTTTTATATCTTTTATACTAATGTAAGTTTAGTTTTAAATTAATTTTATTTATTTTAAAATAATTTTATTGTTGTATTTTTCATTTTATTTGTAATTTAATTTAAATTTAATTAGGTTTACTTTTATTTTATTTTATTTAAATTGTATTATTTTTATATATTTAATTTAGTTGATTAATTAATTTTATTTATTGTTTATTTTTTATTTTATTTTAATTTAAGTTGTTATTTATTTTTTATTATTTTATTGTATTAAATTAATTTTAATTAAATTAAATGTTTTGTATTTTATGTAATTTTATTATTTGTAATATTAAATCTGTACTTTATTTTATTTTATGTTATTTATTTATTTTATTATTTATTTTATAATTTTATATTTGATAGTATTTTAGTTTTTAATTTAATTTTATTTAATTTAGTTTTAATATTTTAATTTAATTTTTAATTTGATTCAATTCAATTTTTTATTTTATTTTATTTTATTTTATTTTATTTTATTTTTATAACCCTTGTATGATTTTACAATTCTGTATACACTGTTTGTCCTATGGATCAAAAAAAAGACCCACCTTCACTAAAGCAGCTAAACTTAATTTAAATGCTGAAAAAAACAATCAGCTTTTGAAATGAGTGATGTCATTTTACAATATATTTAACCCTCTATGATATTAGGGTGTTTTAGGGGAGTGGAGTTCTGTTGTGCCCTGACATTAGAGCATTTTTCAGATGCTTATAAACAAACAGTACGAGTGTCTAAAGTCTTACAGTAAACAGCACAAACTAGCCTACAATAACATATTAGCAACATTTATGTACAAGATTGTGTTGATTTAGATAAAATGTGCTTTTTTGATGTTTTTCCATAAAATTGTTTTTCTACACACACTGTAGTCAGGAAAAGGAATATAACTCTTGTCTGTGTTTCTTTCTTCCAGAGACCCGTTTGTGATCAGCTCAAAGATTCTGACAGTAACTGTACGCCCTTTACCCAAGCCCACCGAGCCCCTGGTGTCAGTGGAACTCGCCCCTTTGCTAAATGTAAGTACTTTATTCTTGTGAAAACATTAAAACAGGCTAAATATGCATACATATAAACACATCACTCTACCATTCAACAGTTGAGGGTTGGCCGCCATCTATTTATTTATTTTATTAAATTTATCATGATCATTAAGACAGCATATAATTAATCTACAAGTATTATTGTGCAGTACTCAAAACTTAATTGTCAGCACATTTTTTTCTAACCTTCAGTCTCACATGATCTTATTNAAGGCTGATTTTCTGCTCAAGAAGGATTTTTATGATTATTATCAGTGTTAGTTAATGCAGTTAATTCAGTTCAATTCAGTTATTACAGGAATAAATAGCATATATATACAGTGTATATATATATATATATATATATATATATATATATATATATATATATATATATATATATATATATATATATATATATATATATAGATATATAGAGATATATATCTATATATATATATATATATATATATATATAGATAGAGAGAGAGACAGATATGTCTGTATATATATATATATATATATATATATATATATATATATATATATATATATATATATGATATATATATATATACACACACACATATAGAT